GGATTAAAGATGTCTCGTCAATTCAAACATAGAGCACTGACCACTCCATGACACAGGTCAACCTTGTTGGATTTTCTTATTTCCCAGTCCGGAGTCCATATAATACCGCTCGGGCAAGTGTTGGTGCTTCCAAAGTTCAAGACCAAAACTGACTTTAGATTAATTCATAATTTTTTGTCAAATACATTTGAAAATCATATCCCCAACTACATGTACATGTAGTTTTGGGAGGTAATATTTGAAATAATGGCTTTCATTGTCAATCGCATTTCACTCATTGTTCTTTTTTATGCTTCTTTGCATTGAGGTGACATCTGTCTTTTTCGAGCCGCTGTCTGCACAAGTTCACTCAATTTGTAATTCTGTGGGCTTCGATGAAACCGTTTATAAAACAAGAACTCGTTATTATTCGAGTCATAGACAAAACGGGGATAGTGGTTCATCCCTCTGAAACGACATGTCTCATTTTATCGGTGTATGATCCGAAAGGCTCTGCTCAAAATTTTGCAGTATACTCCAAGCTCATAGTCTTCCTAATGATTTCATCATCATCGTCGCTTACTGCGACGCGTGGATACAACTCATAAACGCGATCCTTCCGGAACCTCTGCTAAGTCATGCGAGTAAAGGATGGGGCGCCCTCAGTGTTTATTTCCAAAAGTTGTCATTAACCTTGATAATGTTGATGGTTATTGGTGGAAGCTCTATGCAAGTTTAAGTTTTGGATAGGAATTGAGGCGTGTATGTGGTTGTTGCCACATATCTCAAACCTGAACTTGTTTAATACCCCAGCATGGCAGGTAGCCTGTGTGGGACAATTAATGTCATCTATTAGGACTGTTTCCTTACTTTGATTCCATCATAAGCCCTTTATCAAGGTTAGTTATTAGTCGATAGTTTGACATTTTTTTCCAACACCCTAAAGGATTGAAATGCCAGCTTAGGTTTTATGGTAACATTTAAAACCATCATCGTAATCATCTTTTCCTCATCACCACCATGTCATCGCCACCTTCAGCATAATCACCATTATCATTCCAGTATACTGTTATCGCTGGCTAATTATCCCTGAACAAATTAACAAAATTTATGTTGAATTTCAACTGTATTGAAGAGACGATATACATGTAGTTGAAAAGTTACGTACACCGATAACCAGTTATTGTTCGTGTCGTTGTAATTGGTGTTGTTACAATGTGCAGTAATGGTTTTAAATTAAGGCGATTCTCAGATATCATGGATGTATAGACATGTCTGGAATACACGAAGTAGTTGGTGAGGTCAGACGGAATCGGAACAATTTTATTGCCCCCTTTGGACTGTTACAACCCCTTCATCATCTTCCCGTGTGTGCCTGGCCTGCATTGTTCTTTGAACTCAGAGTCTGCTTTGCAGGAGCGTGACGAGCCACATGGTTATATACACCCGCGGAAGACGCGACGGATCCCCCATAGACATCAGGCAAGGTCCGAGCTACAACAATTCACAAATTAGTTGACAAATTGGGCATATGTTTCACCTCACCTTTATTAGGTGTCTGCTCTCGGCAAACATTTATCCTTGGACAGTATTTTTTTGGAATTTTAAGGTCGAATCGTCCTGTCTCTGGCCGTTTTGCTTTCATAGCTCCATGAAATGTTTGAATTCCTTGCGTCATTGCCTAGAGAGCTATAGTGGAGGAACGAGAGAACTACAGTAACGAAAGATTTATTGTTGATATTTTTTGAGTGGAATGCATGCATGAATTGTGTACAGAGGTCAACTTGAAAATAACTGTTCCTCAAAGTATCTATGAATATTCTTGACTAATATCAATCAACGAAGGAGGAAATAAGCCCTAACGATGCGTAACAAGTTTTATTTTTGTGTATCTCTGTTTAAGTCCCAAATATTGAAAACAGGCCAGCAGCACATTTAAAACAAAGGCTTGTAGATCATCAACTATTGGAAAATGATCTAGTGACGAGCCTTGTAATGCGATTGGTGAAGAACACACAATGACAGGAAATCAAGACAAATTATGTGTCGCCAATCGAGTATTTCCGTGATGATAAAACCTCTTCAAGAACGAGTGTATCATGAATAATGACACTCATCATTTCCAGTTCACTTAAGGTGGAATCATACCAACTTGATTAGACAACAGTCTGGTAATGTTAAAGCTCATCTCCTTCCTAACAAATGCAATAATAAAATAGGAAACCCAAACAGACTTGATTATATACTTGCTCACAAGTATATAAGTCACAAGTATGAAGCTCTGTCCTCAAGCGAGAGTTGAGTAACATGCATGAGAAGCACACAGTCCAGTAGGCCTACTGAACGAAAGGTTTTCAGATTTTCTAGTTTGTCCATATCACCGTTTCAACCAACGTGTATCATCGTCTGATCTGTCTTGCGATGATACTTTGAAGGTAATGTAGCGATTACTTCACTTAAAGACTCCAATGTACGAAGAGAATAGCAGGAAAAGAGAACAAGAAGTGAATGAATACATAACTTTGCTTCCAGGTTAGCGATTAAAAGTCATGATGATGTTTCCCTTTAACGACTAAAGCATTTGGTTCAATGTCACCTTCACTGCAGTTGTATGAATTTTCAAGTTGAGAGTTCTAACGTTAAATACAAGTGACATTGAAAAGGAAAGCAGAGTGATCGGGTGTTTCCCTCGCGATGGGGAGACATAAATATCCTTTAGCGGATGACTTCCGCTAAAACATCCGACCTTCCTGGACACATGTTTAGGTGGGCTTTCTTCTAAGCTCTCAAAGCTAATCCCAACATTGACCTTTGACAAAGGAAAATAAAATACTAGTCAAAAACGGCCGCTTAAAATCATTGTCCAGTCAAGATGGGAAATCAAAGAATAAGCAGAGAAATCTGGTACAAAAGAATATTTCAGCACCTCACAATGGCAATGCTCTTATAATAATAATAATGATGCCTTCTTAAAAAGCGCCTTACATTATAAACCAATCTCTGAGCTCCTTACAATGGGATAAAAATTACAAAAAATGGAAGTTGATGTTAGTGAATTACATAAAAATTCTACAAACGGTTACATATAGTTGTAATCAATTATAAAAAGCATTAAAAGTTATACATTATCCCAGTCACAAAGACCAGGACTTTTGCTAGGATTTCTCCGGCAAGCCCCTTTTTTCATCAGCTACAAATTAACAATGGGAGGGGTCAGTTTTTGTCGATTTTTCCGGCAAATTGGCAATTTTAATCTCCGAAATGTTCATTTCGGGGGAGGGGGGAAACGACCCCCTTGCCCCCTCTCGCGACGCCCACGCTTATAGGGCTTGCAAATGATCAAATAAAGTCCCTTGACTTAACTGGCTGGTGTATGAAGGATTGAAGCATAACGGCACCTGTTCGTCAACCTCTTTTATGTCTGACATCCTAGTAACTTGTGTCCCAGGCAGATAACCACATCCACAAATTAACTGCTTGTCCGCGATTTCGCTGATAATTTCCCGCAGACACATTCAATCTGGATGAGTAATTGCAACATTAATTTCCTCCGATGATTTCCTCAGTCCTCTCGAATTAAATGCAACTGATAAAAACTGATTCGAGTGGTAGTTTTCATATGATAATGTCACCTGTATATCTCAACTAAAAACTCTCCGTTGTGTAGTTTTTAAAAAAGTGTCTCAAGAGTAGGCCTACCCAAGTCTCGCACTTTTAGAGCCGCATTGCAATTATCCAACCGTTGATCAATTCACAAGCTAACAGAAAATTCTCCTCATCAAAAAAATAAGGAAATGGCGAAATCAAGTAACTTCACTCCAGTTTCTCTGTTGCCTTCATGTGCTTGTGGATACACGAAAACCACAATCAAAGAAAAAGAACGAGAACTCATCTGTTTGCAACAGACCATTTCGGGCTATTTCTTCTTTCTCCTCCATAAAGGTCAAAGTCATACGTGATTTTTGACTCAGAACTATTGGACATTCTACATCGACTCACTTGACCGTAAAATGACCACAGTGCCGCGTGGATAAACTGTATACGAAGTGCATGGGCTTTTGGCTTAATAGAACTTAAGAGATTGAAGAACACAAATCACAAGAAAAAAGAAAACGTTTTCGCAAAGTTGCGAAAAAGCCAACAATGGACAATGGCATTTAAGGTCAGTCAGTGTGCAACCAACGACTTTGTAAAAGCTCGAGGACCACTAAATTAGGTAAACATACGGCAATGGGCAGACTCTATGCATAACAGAAAATATCACACGACTGTACTTGACAGCGTGAGATTAAACTTGTTTGTGAAGGTCCACCCCATCCGGGTACAACCTGTCTTTTAACAAACTTTTCTTTTTGGTTCCTTGTTGTGCGAAGTAGTTGCCGCTGGATAACAGCCGTCCGGGATCATTATTAAACTCTTTAACAAAAACAAAACACGAGAACACCGGTCGCTATGGTGCATCGCACTTTACTGCCGGAGCTATGTTGGCCCTTCATTTTCATTGTAATGTCTCAGATGCATGCCAAAAGGATGACTCTTATACAATGTTTATGAGCGCCTAGACACTGATAATAAATTAGTTGCGACGGGTCACTTGGCTTGAGAAAATAAATAGACTGAAATATTGGGTCCATGAGTATACAAGCAATACTTTCTCACAGTGGCACACTTCAGCTCTGTACAACGTCCTGATATCAGTCTCAACAAAACTTGCCTGATTAAAACATGCGTTCTTTTCGTGTTCCGTCTCTGCGCACGCGTAAAGAGCGAGCCGCTCGTTTGCTGGAGTCAGATTTTGTATCCTGAGTAAAATCACAGTTTTAGCCCAATAGCTCGCCGATTCTCGAGGGGATGATTTGCTATGCCTCCTCCCCCTTCGTGCCTCATAATCCCTACGGGCAAGGCCCAGTGATTGAGTGAACTGCCCCACGGGTAGCCCACACAAGCCCTCTACGGAAGGATGTAGCGAATCACTGCTGACTGTTAATTCAGCATGCCCATGTGTTCAGCTGGATCACTCGCTCAGCGTTACGAACTGTTGCATACACTGTTCTGCACATTGCTCATTCGGCCACATGCAAAGCGGAGTGTATCACGTCAGCGTAGGGGAGACGCTTAGCGGGACGAGGTAACTTCACTGTACGGGGAATATTGTCGAGGACACGGCAGACCCATTCAGTGGTGCTCCCTGATGGCAGATATGATTTTGTCAACATTGTATGGTGTTACTTTGACTTTCTTGGTGGTCTTGGTGTCATCTGTTTGCAGTGACCCGAATCCTGAAGGAAGGAACGTTTGCTCTTACACGTGAGTAGCTCATGTGTTTAAACTCGTATCATATCCGCCAACACATTTATGACATTGTTTGTTGTTTTAAAATTAGGACTCAGCATCGTCAGATCGTCAACTTTACTTGTTATTGGAGTAATTAAAAAAGTGACAAAAGTGAACAGGAGTAGTGGATTAATGTTTGTTTCCTTGAACATGCTGAAAAAGGTTCAAATATACTATGCTAATCTAATTTTGAAGGTGTAAACTTTGCCCTTCATTGACCCCCAAATATGCCAAATTGCTTGCGCATGTACATGTATACGCTGAGAATATGCTTATGGGTAATTATTTTACCGGTTATCAATTCAGACGTCTGCAGTAATTTAATTCCCCCGCATTCTACGAGTTTTTAAAAAACCTTGCTGTATTTTGTAAAACGAACAGCAAACCTATAAAGCCAGGGGTGCGACGAAAGCAGAAATTGGAAGACAGTGTACCCATTCCGTTTGTTTTGGATGTGACGTATAAAGGATGGAACTGGGAGTATTTTCCCAAACTCTGAAGACACTGACCGAAAAGTTAGATTGAGGAAGTCAAGTTCGATAGTAGGCTATGTCCTGTCCGTTAACAAGATTCTTAATTTTTACAACCGTAAAATATTGTCCTCATTTCAGTGGGCTCCTTTTAATTTGGGCAAAATATGCAGAACGAGTATGTCTGCATGTAATCTCATTGTAGATTAGTAAAGGAAAACAGAAAATATCAAACATTTTCATTCCATTGACATGATTGACAAAAATACAGAGAAAACGTGTACATGTATAAAGTTGAATAATCAAAGTTTTTTGGTCAAGGTCAGAGAAAATTAGTCAGCTGTGTGGCAACTGTAGATGGTCCATTCTCAGTGTCTAGTAAGGGGATAAATTATATTTCACTCTGAACGTCTCGATGGTAGTCGAAGTTTGACGTCAGACTTAACTCAAGACTTTAGGATTGTTGCATTCTGAAGGAGTTCATTTAGACTGCGATACAAGAGGGAATTCCGCACCGTATTTAGTCACTAAAGCGACAACGTTTATCACAAAAGCCGTTTTAGCATTTTTTAATGCAGTAAGCAGCCTGTATCTCTCCACGTTACCTTGACCTATACTCTACTTAGTTAAACTTTTGCTTTGGTTTTGATATCAAGCAGAACTTGTACCATGGAGGAAGGAACTCTTTCCTCCAGCCTTGTACTTATGTACTGTATCTGAGCGTCGGGGAAATTCCTTCAAACGACCGAAGATTGAAGTACCACAACGGAATCAACAGCTCACATACGGCAACACTTTGTGTCCTGTTTTATTTCTCCACGCTAACCCAGTTTAGGAAAAACAGTTTCAGTGATGAGGGTATGACTGTTATTACGCGATTACGTAACACAAATATGCTATCAATGTGCGTCTGCATGTACAATACCTACTTCAGTCACTTACGGGGCTTTGCTCTCGCACTGCGAACAACATGGTTGAGGTACATGTACATGTATGTACTCACGTTCTTCCGATCGCTCTGTTATCTTACCGCAGAAACTATTTAGACTTGTTCCAAACACAGGTATATTTGTTGTTTTTTAAGTTCTGTATCCCACCTGTTTTGTGGATGCGTAGGCAGAAAATGGAGGAAGGAACCTTCACAAACGCCAGAAATAAACACTGTTGACTTCCACATGTGGGTCTTGCATCAGAGAATCCTTTGATCCTGAGTTGGATAACAAAATGTCCGGCTTCAATGGGAACTTTTAAAAGATTTTATCGCTATACCTTGGTGTAAATGATTTTGTTGTTTCAAAGGTTAAGGCATTGTATTTCTATTTATCATACTATATTCTACCTCTATGTTGTCTGATGCTAGCACACATTTTCCTCACCGTAGAGGAGCGTAATTAATTGCAAATGCATTAACCATTTTGCAAATTTGGAACGACACTTTATCCTGATGGTTTGAGAAAAACAATGCTGTTGCTAATTTCAAAGTGTTTTATAAAAGTCTTTAGGCCTAAAACGTCAGTTGTCAATCAACTAGTAACTTGCTGACATACATTGTAATTAGTAAGTTAATACGGCAGTGTTTTAGTTCCTCCAAAAAGGGAGCTTGTAATCTAGGGCGTGAAGGAGACTAGTTGAGATTAAAACCCAATTTGTAGATCAACCTGCATTAATCTTGTCCGGAATTGCTATTAAAATATTAGGTCCTAGCTCTGGTAGGACTTGATGATAGGTAGGTATGACGTTAACATCTTGTGAACGAGTGATTTCTTCTTTTCGTAACTGTTCAGACTCTCCCTTGCTATGATTTTAACAGTCATTATTCGACTCTAGTCAAAAAGTTCATTTTAATTACTAGTGTACATATTCCACGTTGTGTAAGCTGATTCGTAACATAGAAGTATTCCTTGTGGATGGGAGAGGGGAGGGGTGGAGGAGATTTTCAAAGCATTAAGGCGTGTGTAATGACTGGAGTCAAACTGCCGTTTATGATTTCCTCCATAGCTATAAAGTGACTGAATTCTAGTGAGTTATTTCAGCTCTTATTAGATCATATTATTGCGCAGAATCTTCGATAATAGCTGTTTACACGTGCACTTTATCACATCGATAAAAAAAATTAATACATGTATAGGGGCCTATGAGTAATGAAGATTGCAAAAGTCGGCCCCGTATTTTACAAATTTTTGCAGACCTACAGTGAGTATGGGAAGTAGAAGTTACTACATGTAACTACTCATTGTAGTTTAATGTTGTATTTTATTGTTTTTGTTTTGTTTTTTAGCAGAGCAAGGACCACTTAATTTCCACCATGTATATTATTTCATATCAATAATAAACTAATAAACTAAACTAAACTAAACTAATAATAATAAGCGAATAAACTATGTAATGTAAATCTAACAAAAAAGGAGAGATGAACTTTGACTTTGTGGATTTTAATGTTCTGTTTCAAAAGGGAAATGGAAGTAAAATGCCTAACGGAATATAAAGCTTGCCTGTATTAACCTCGGCCACCATGTCACGCCAAATTAGTGAAACACAAGTGAGACAAATTTTAATTTATAGACCTTAACAACAAGAATGAAATAGTGAAGTATATTAGGGATAACGGTTAATGCTCTTCAATAATTCAACCAATTAGCAAGGGTTCGAATTTCCTTGAAGATTGTCAGAATTATACTCATCCTTATTATGTGTTCGGCGTTACACCTTCGTAAAACGTAAAATGTTCACACGTACGCCAACAAAAACGGCTGAAGGCTTTTGAGCTGGCCACATTGACGGTGCTTTGTCAATCACGGTACATTGGAATGCCTTCACGCTATGAACTTCAATATCTGAAGTCGACCACTAACCATCTCCATGTTGAATTACCGGAGAAGGTTGGGCTTTTCCCGGGCTGTAAAGTTCCCGAAGGGCCTACTTTCTGCCTCAAGGCATTTCGGATGACACCTTTTCCCTTCAACTTCACCAGGATGTCCTCTCCAATTGGCGTCATGTGATGGGGAGGATACGGCTAAGGGCTACTGGGACTGAGACTCCAAACTCTGGAAACTAACAAACGGTGTGGCTGCTTGCTGATAACGACACAAACATAATGTCCACTTGGCTATTGTTTTAGAATTATTGATGGAAATTATTCTTGACAGTGAGTAAAGTCCCACAGGCTTGCGGGCTACGTACAGATCAGTGTCCACATGTCAAGTAATTTGTCTCACCATGCATGATAAATGAAAAACATCCGTGTTGCAATTCCTTCTGCTGCTGTGGATAGTCAGCCGAGGACACGAATGTGCTGTTCGTATAATATATATTTGCTACAAGATTACCCATCTCTTAGTCATGTCAGTATGAAATAAACTACATCCTGAATTCTAGAATTAGCATTGTCATTTTTAAATTAGAAAGGTGCACTGTATGCCGTTTTACGTGAACGTAGTGTGTGAATGACTTTGAGTCCCCACTTCGTCGGTTCCTGGCAGGGCAAAGTTGGTTGTTTTGTGCATGGTGCTCTTAACAGGAGCATTAACAGTGGACTAAGTGCTGGTCTGCCTAAGGAAGGATGGAATATTCAATGAATCAGTTCTAGTTGAATCAAAGATTTATGGTTTGTACAAGCCTCAGATCGAGTACAATATGCCGAGACAAAAGACGCACGCTATAATACTGGAATAAACGTGTCAGGAACTTATAGGATGAAACAGCTAAGAGGTTCGTGTTGTCAAGTGCATGCGATTTAAATGTCGGTATTGTCACAGACAAGTATAGAAGTTTTTCGTGATCTGGAATACTGACAGTTTATGAAATTAGAGGAAGTTGTCCATAAATCAGTTAATTTATGTAATGAGCATTCTCCTAGCCGTGAATAGATCATTTTGTTAGTAAACACACTTCTTTTTCTAATTTTAATTTCAATGTTTTCAATTTCTTGTAAAAATATCTGAGATAAAGGTACTCTCTGCCGCATACTTATCCGGTGCTATCTATACAGAAATACTGCCTTTGTGATATTTCTCCACTTTCTCTGAATTTAAAGTTTTTCTTTTAATGAGAGTAAACCAAATGGTTGTATGTCAGTTTCTTTACACTGTAGAGAAACACGACCTGTGTTCTCCAGTACTGATGATCCATTCATTATGTGTTTAATGTTCACCCTTATTTACATAGAAGTGACTACTTTGGGGAGCATACATTTTGGGAGGGGAACGTAGGGGCCTGGGAACATAAGTGGACCCATAAGACTTAAAGGTTTTCATGGTGAAAGAACTATATGAGTAAAACGATTGTGGTTACACCATGGATCAATCTCTTTCTGGAGTGTGTGTGGTTCTGAGAAGAACCGGGGAATAACTCGACGTTTCGAACAGTGTACTCTGTCCGCCTTCAGAATACTCAAGAAAGAGATTTATGCATGGTGTAACCGCAATCGTTTTACTCACAAGGTAGACTCCTTTAATACAGCGCTGGTCTCAGAGATGTTGTGACAGTCTAGACAGAAATCAGACACGAATCAGTCTCAGTAACCCCACAAAGGAATTAGCTTGGTATTAGGGTTCATCCATGACTTTAAAACGTTGATCCGTCAGATATCTTTGCGTGGACCACTGACCTTTATACCCCACGCGTCCGGGCCTGGTGCCAAATGCTCATACATGGTTCCGGTCTTTCAGTTGACCTCATCCGCAAAAACCAAATAGGATTGAATAGAGACTTGACAACATCTATGTCATTCGCTAGTAGAAAAAGAAACTGTTGAATAACTTCGATTGTAATTTGTAAGGAACATAACGCAAGTATTAGGTATACAACGGCGATTTATACACGAAATATGGTTTGGTAAAACAAACGGAACCGTAGATTGGGGGCAGCCTGCTTAGGATGTCTGAAATTTGGTTGGAAATCAAGGTAATTGAATACTGATGACGTTATCCGCGGGTACTCGGCAAAACTCCACCAACCTCAATTCTTTGGTTTACCACAAAGTTGGTCTTCTGTCTGCTGGCTATAGGTTTCTCTGAGTGGTTTGTGTTCCGAAGAATTTTCGATGCCGAAAAGAATCAATCAGTCAGTTTTGTCTCCTGAAATTTTCATCGAATTTGATGTACATGTATGTGTGTTACCTGTTCCTACTAAACGCTCTTTCTGCAACCGAGAAACCAAATCATTAGGGTGGCAACCAAACCCAGGGCGACTATTATGCATATGCCAACAAATCCCAAGTTTCTGAATCATCAACGACTGTATTTTGTATGAAAGCATTAGAAACTTCTTTCCTGCGAACCATAAACAGCGTCGCAAAAAATCGTGCTCCTTTCTGATAAGTGTAGGCCTTAGTTGTAAAATATGTACAACACTTGATTTGAAACTTGGGACCCTGTTGACACTTGACAACACCTGCTGACCACATTGGGTGTGGACAAAGGAAACGGTCTGCCGTGTTCATTAGCACTAAGTGTTATCACTATACCCTTGCTCGAGCAGCAAGGGAAGGGAATTAAGGTCTCGAATTTTCGGAGCTTTCCGTAGTCGATGGCATGGAACTTAACAGAAAATGGAGCAGCTGAATTGATCCACCCGAGCATCTTGGCCATCGTTTTTGTAAAGTCTGACATTATGAATATCCTCGGTATAACAGTAGGCATTGCACATGTAACTTGATTTCTGGGCTGTGATTTGGTTCCAGCTCACTTTGATTTACAGGTCAATACCTATAGTGGGAAGCCAAAACTTCCATTACATTGAGCAAGAAAATGACTTTATTTCTCATCATAAACGATTTTAGCGCTTCAGAATTTTTTTTAATATAAAGGCCACTGTCATGACCAATTTACAGGCAACTTATGTAATCTAGAGCTGCCAAGCTCTCCCAATGGTCGTTTGTAGTGCCTCATGCATAGCTAATTAGCAGCCGTCCCTTGAATGCCCAATATCAAAATTTAGGTCAGATCTCGGAATTGGTGACAATGATTATTCCTGGAAGATTTCATTCATTCAGCGAGGGGGGAAATGTCAGTTAAATCTTACTTACATGACTGATGATAGCTAGATTTACTCGTGATGTCTGCTAATGAAGGGAACACACGCAACTGTCAGGTTTAGTGATAGAGCAAGCCATTTCAGACACAGATTGACGAAAGATTTATGACGTGCTGGTAATCTGTAATTTCTTCAAGTCGTACAAATGAACCAGTTCGTTATTTTAAAAGGCAAGGCTATTCGAGAACAAAGCATACGTGTGGCGTGGGTGGAGGTGTAGTCGCGTTGATTGGACAGACCTTGCCTGTGAGTATTACTGTTCCCAAATGACCTCGGACGCGCGTCATGTGGGGGGTAGGTGCTGTTTTAAGTTGTCTCACTGTCAGGACTATGGCTTTGCTATGGTGCCCATGAAAGAACAATTTCCAATGTCTTGAAAAAATTATGGCAGCTTTGGCGTGATCAGGAGAAATTCACGACTGCAAAGTGCAATGACGCTTTATTAAATGACAGAGCTTTGCCATTGATGAATAAAGAAAAACATTAGAATGTGATGCCCACAACTTTATACAGTCACTCTGTACTCAGACTAGTTTAAATTGCATTCCAAATATTCAGAATTTATGCGAGGATGGGAATTCTTCCCTCTGAGATGTAAAAATACTCATCATAAACGCTGTTTTATGGAGATTTCTGTCGCACAAAATGCCAGTATCAAAACACGATTATAGCGTTAGAACCTTGGCAATCCACAACATGAAAGATCCGGGATGGTCTTAACAATTGGAAGTTCAAGGTTGGCAATAAAACACGAGATCTGCGCGTTACCGAACGATGTTTCAGTGGCGAATATTCCTTCAGTTGGCACGTGTATATGATATTATTTGGTTTGATTTGCAGGTCAAAAAACTTCAGATTTTAAAAAGAATTTTATTCATCCTGTGAGGCTTTTCATCATTAGGGTGACACAGTACATTACAATTTGATTAGAGCTTCGTAATGGACAGATTCTGAAAATGACCAAGATGTCGTTCTCCCCCATTACCTGACCTATTTAAGAACTTGTATATTCCATTTCCACCCTGTTTTGATGTTGACTAACAGGCAAGGCGTTCGTTTTATATCGTTATTTCGACATGTTGTAAGTCATCACCCTAATCCATTTTCTCGTCGTGCCTGGGGTGTTTCCGAGTGACCACTTGCTTGATCAGTGTTCCTTCACGATACAGTGATTAACTTGTACCTTACGTAACCTCGATGCTGGACATGGTCATTTAAATTTTAGACATTAGGCCTACACAGAGGAGATCCTTATAATGCCAATTCCCAATGGTTTCCTCAAATGGGCGGAATTTCGGATGCCGAAAAACAATGCTCCCCTAAATTAGGATGCTGGTGATTTGGATGAAATAATGCAGTAGGAAATTTCTCTGTTTTAATTAGTTTTAATTATTAACAAACATGACTGTCTGCTCATTTTGTATCAGCACACTGCATTTTTACAGCATAAAGTATTGCAAGTTACTTAACAACCCACACTCCATAATATCACATACACTGTGTCTGGTTTCCCGTAGATTCCAAAATGAAAGCGGTGTAAATGTGACGAGATATCAATGTTGTCCTGGCTGGAGACGTAAAGGACCCGACTGCACCAAACGTAAGTTCAAAACAATCACTGTTTCTAAATAAGAAAACTATCAGCGTGCATAAACAGGGTGTATGCATAAAATGCCGGAATGGGAATTTTAGTTAGTTGCTCATTGGAGAGCATATCAGTACCAATTTTTATTCAAGTTGATTATTATCCACGGATTATCTGGCAGTCCTCATCCCGATTTTCTTACGTAATTTATTAGATTTCGAGTCTCAGACCATTTCTCACTGGCAAACTATGATGCCCAGATTTTTTTTCGAGCAAAAATGACCGTGCGCGGAGATTCTCCAGACTCTTCAAGATCTCCCTCACCGGAATGTGCAATAACCTGCTGAAAGAAGAAACCTTGGTTTATCCTTTGACCCTGAAGCTATTTGTGAAGATGTACGATCATGCTTGTGGAAACTGTGTACTACACTGTAGTATTTTACACTTGACATTTGAATGGGCTTGGATTTGAATAGAGTGACCAACCAACCAGTGATTGGTGCTCCAAATGCCCATATTTTGTTGCCTCAGTGACCTCTTTAAGCTTAACGGCCGGTTCATATGATTTCTGGCGAAAGTGATATTCGCTGAAGTTGAGTTGAAATATTTGAACACACGTTATAATTTCGGGCTTTGGTTATGAGTCCTCCGCGAACGCCGGGCGTTCTATTTTGCTTCAGGAAACGACTGTGATATTGTGCAGATTTGTTGTTTGTAAGGTTAGTCATTTAGCATGATGTGAAGACTTCGGGCTCCTGTTTAAATCAAGGGTCGTCAGGCCTCAAATGACGTGGTGCTAAGGTATAGAAGAATCCACTTATAACTTTAAGTTAAACTTGATGAAGTCAATATGTGAGGTTTGCTGTCAATCATACCTAATCAATTGGAAGATCAGCGCTATGCGACGGGACTTGAGAATGGGATGTTGGATTTACAATTCCACAGGGATCTTTTAACTGACAACAAATTCGACAAGGTCTATTTAAGTCGTTTACAAGCAAAAACAAAGGGAAGAAATTAATTGTTTTTGCCTCCGAGGTAAGGTGGTCGTTTCCACTTCTCCACGATTTTCACCTAGGTTCAAACCCACTGCAGATACACTTGGGGTAGACTTGGACAGTCCCTCTGTCCGGTCTTCGTCGGGTAGAATATGAACAGGTTGGTTATTGGTCTCTCCTCCACTTTTAAGGCGAGACTGGAATGGTAAGCCTTGCGAACGCATTTTATTACATTTGAATCCAGACCTTTGAAGGGTACGAGAGAAGGCATACCTGCTCTGGGAAATATGTGTCATGCAGTTAGTTAGGTTTATTCCACTGCTAGTTAATTTTTGTTTACTGCAGGAGCTTCAAAATTCGCTTGAAATTCATAGCCAGATGATTCAATATCATTTTACGCTAAATCCGTTAGATGTGCTGCGCTGCATACGTCAGTCCCTGCCAAAAAGAACATAATAATCATCGAAAGTAAGTGATCCATGAAAAATTTTGAAACCACCGGACGGGGGACAGACAACTTCATGCACCTGTCCTAGCTTCCCGTGAGAGGGTTTATCAGTCCATCTAGTTTTCAGAGCTTGATAAAATAATGCCAGTTATTTCTGGCACCTGCCATGTGGGACATAACTTAACCTACAAAATGTCCAGCCACGTTTTTCCTGTTTCTGACGTTCAGACAATAGTTTCAGTGATACACCACCAGACAAGTGGGCTTTTTTCTCGGCATAAACGGAAAAATAAAGGAAGTTATTAAAAGCAAAGGATGGAGCCAAACCGGCAGTGACTGCTTAATGTAAAATCCAGATTTCGTTTTACCATAATGACCGTGCGCACTTATCATGAGTTCATGTTTAGATTTTCTTGCTGTGTGAGAGGGTGCAACTTCCACCCCAGACTGTCGAACATTATGCTATACCCTCGTACAGTGATATATAATGTTAACTTTTTCCCTACACTATTTGAAAACGAGCATACACCATGGCCTTTTCTAGCCAAACACGAGAGGATTTTGCTGAACATTAAATAATACACTGGAAAATTACTTTAATTCATTTCATACTGTGAGTTCCATGAGGACATTATTTAATATGTTCACCAGTTTTTATTTCAACAAAATGTAATTTGAAAGAAATGATAAGGCAAGTGCAAGCTGCTCTGAAAAGTTTTTTTTAATATTCCATTTGCCACGAATCATTTTGTTTGGAGTTCTGTGTACACACATGATTCTTAGAGTCTCGTGGGTTTACAGAAACTGTTTTGAAAGGAACCCGAGACGTTTCTGTTGCCTTAGGCTAGGCCTAAGTCTTGACTGAAAGGTCGTTGTTGCGAACGTCCCATTTTTCCTTCTGATGTTCCCTTTCCTTTCCATCTCTGACAAGATTCACTTTACTGTTCCTGAACGAACACCCTGTAGCCCTATTCTGTCCAACTTGAGGTTGACCTACGAATGTCCAAACAGACCCTTCCCAGGATAATGGGCCAGGATACATACAAACATCCATGGTTAAAAAACACAATTCTAAAAGTAGGGACCTAAATCTTCCATGTGAAGGCAGTGCTTTGGAATGTAACAGCAGGCTGTGACTCACTGCTAAGGTATACTTTGGGAGTGGTTAGGTAGGCCGTAAAATCATTCTGAGGAGGTCCATGGCCCATAGCTCTTTTTCCTTGCTTTGTTCTCTATGCTCTATGGGATGAAGGGTACATGTTACTTGAGTTAAAACACAACGTTTTGATGGGAAACCCTCCAGTGACCCTGAAATGAAACTATCCCCTTAGTTAATATTGCTCTGAGACCTCATAATTTGGTTGAAAGCTAAAGTCTAAAGGCATAGATGTTCGCCCATGTTTTGATAATCCTGGAATCCCTGTATGTATGGTGCGACTGTCGAAACTTTTATGAGTGATGATACTGATCGAATGATTTGAGCCAGATTCCCACCCTCAGTCACCCCCATATAGCTTCAGCAGGTGACCGCAGCAGTGACAGTCATCGGTTTGGAATTCAACTTGTACCCTGTTTAGATTACCCTTGTCATGTTTACAACTAAGGTGATTTGAAGCTCTGACACCACTCTCTAAATGAGTTCCGAATTGCTCGGCAGCTGCGTGATGAGGTTAAAATATCGTAAAGCCCCCCCCCCGTCTCGCGGTAGGTGGTCAAATAGCCGGGGTTCCAAATCAAAACTAAGCTTGTTTACAGCACCACGAACACAATCGCTGACGTTTTCCATCTGTCTCCGGAAGTGATGCAGGTTTCCTTCCAGAGCGGAATTAGGTTCTTGAATTTCGCTTTGCCTTTCTGTCACCAAATCTCGCAAGATCGCACTTGATGCGCACATGCAATGATCACTGTGTTGATTTGTGGCAACTCCATTACTCATCCACCCCTGAGCGGTGGGCAGCTGGATGAATTCTTTCCGTAGACTAATTAGTCATAGATCAGGTACTTATATTCTTTTTTTTTCTCGTGTAATACAAACCAAAAGGTTACGCTCGGTCGGTTAGAAGAGATCTTGCAATACCCATGATAAATTTCCCTATATTTGAGACGTGTGACAAACTCTGCAATAGGAGCGCGGGCAGAAACATTAAAGTTTTACCTCTGAGCTGAAGTTGAGTATGGCTGTGTTGGAAACTAAAAACCATCTGTCGAAGTAACAGAGTAGTAGTCTGTGATCAAAACATGGTAACTTCAAAAGGAAACCAATTTTTGTTCAAGCTGCTTCTTTAGTGCTGTTCGGGTTCCCTTGCAGTTGCACTAGCCTTTAAACGTACAATTTCCTGGCTTGTGTCCAAATTATATTACCCACGCAAACCCACTACTTCAGTTCAAAATGATGAAGCCACAAACAGGGTCCCAACTGACCCATGGACACGGAAGTCGTTTTCCAGTTCACCTGGCAGTGAACTAAAAGGGGAACGATGCAACAAATGTACGGCTTACATCTTTCAGCATTTTACAACAACAGGATGGGCTCTAGCTGGACGGGAACGATCATGCAGGACTCCTTGTCTCCACTGCCCAGGAACATCTCCAGAAGGTCATGACCTCTGGGAAGGAGAGCGGCCAATAGGTGACCCGTGATGACCCGACTTGACCGTGCTGACTTTCCGTCGTGATTAGGGCGTAGTTGTTTTGTTCACTGGCCGACTCTTGTGTTTTGGTCTAAATGTATTAAGGACTTATTTGCAAGTTTGCCGTAAATACCTTGCACACGACGTTACTGTGATGACTGTGAGGATCTCTCTGTCAAATAATTATACAATATGACAGGCATTACTGCAATAATGTATCAAAAATACTCAGCACCAGTGAGTTTCTCTGTACAATCATTATTCTTTTTATAGGGGAATCATTCTTTTTATAGGGGAATCATATGTGCTGGTACAAAAAACAATGATATCGAACGTAAGGCAACCCCTGTAAGTTTTCGATTAAGAAACGTTAACATTCTATTTACTAAAGTTCCTCCAATATGTTTTCAATTATCTACAAAGAGTAGCAGCTTCAACAGTGATGTTGCATCATTTGAGATGATGACTACCGAGGAAGTAAAGACGAACCCTTGCCCATTTTTCTCGCCCTGTTGAGGTCATTGTTACGCCAAATGAGAAATCGGAAGACGTCTAATAATTGACTCCGAACGCAACATAGATTGTGTTCCTAACTGTTTCAAGATGGAGGTCTAGGCGAGGCATCTTTTGTTGTACAGTAAAACGCAGAGTGCGATGAACGGGCAAAAAAATTGTCTCGGCTGCAGATATTGACAACAATCAAAGTGCATCTGGTAGACAGTTGAACTTGGTAAGGGCAACGACCTTCAGCAAATTTTCATACTACTCATCAGGCGTTATTATGTCCTTGGATGTTCTTTATGAGAAAAGACCCCTGATATTATTGGTATTTCCATTGAACAAGGTCCGACAGACATAAAATTGGCATAGACTTGTAAAGGAATGCTATATGATTCCAGAAACACACTCGGTTTTCCTGCAAGAGCGCCCTCAACCATC